CATTGTACAGTGGCATTAAGTGCCGGAATGTGCACCTCTGCCTACCCCTTCGAGGATAAAAAAGGCGTGATGTTATGTTGTTTAATTTGGATAACCACCTGCTATATTACAAATACAAATTTAGGATATGCTAATACAAAGCCAATTATAGGTTTCCAGTAGTTTCCACGGCTAACTACAGTATATCTTTACAGAGGTTTTGCGAATGCAATGCACATAAAAGCAGAAAACCAAGTAGATAATAATATATTCATTCAGTAAATTTAAGGTTTAGTCGCCTACGCACCCTGGAACTGCTTGTGGTAAATGGATCGAGTCCTAAAAGCTTGCCCAATCTATTAAAATCCCTGCTCACTCGCACAATATAGGAGTTCTGTTTATATTTTTAGGAAGAAGTGGGGACAGCAATATTGGTGGGTTAAATCGAACCGATTTTTTCGGAATATTAAATACAGCTTATGCAATAAGTCTGAGCAATCGATCTCGTTATTCAGAATCTTAACAAAATAAGTTGTTTATACTAGCTAATTCCGCGCGGTTTCACTCGCTCTCCTCGGCGGGTATTAATCGTAGCGTGATGTTTTATAGCCTATAGCCTTCCTCGATAAATGGGCTATCCAACACAGAAAGATTTTTTCAAATCGGACCAGTAGTTTCGGAGATTAGCGCGTTCAAACAAAAAAACAAACTCTTTAACTTTATATTATTAGTATAGATGTCCTAAATCGACTGACTATCGACACGGTTGTGTCTGTGGCGCGGACGCTGACATGACAAATGATGATTTATTCAAGTTTTATTGGGTTTTACACAATGATTGTTTGCAAGTCCCAATTTGACAATGACTTGAAGACATCATGCGTATTTCAATATACCTATATAACTATTCATCTTAGTTCTTACTATCGCCGTCCGACCAGAACGGATGTGGTGGGACGGAACCTCAGAACCAGACCCGAGCGAAAGGCGCGTCGCGTTTCGCGTGACCTCAAAATCAAAGAGCCATCAGACCACCACGGATGGGGTCAAATAGGGCTGATGCCGATATGGAGCCGCGGAGGACTCGACGGGTTGCCGGGGCTCCGGTCCGAAGTGCAAGAGTTGGAACGGGGTGGTTTTTAGTCAGTAAGAGTCTGACACTACTTCCCGCTTTACCCAGGCGGGTAAAGTCATTCGATGATGATCCCCTTTAAAAAGAACCCCAGTTTTGAATTTCATTCTGATCGCTTTAGCCGTTTTGATGTGATTGAGTCACAAATAAATAAACAGTAGCTCATAAAAAAAGTTTGTTTTTAAATTATTCCTCTTCGAGCCAACAACCACGTTTTATACAGCTAGATAAAAACATAAATATTCCGTTACAAATTATTAATATTATGCTGATATTCAATGTCAGTTAAAAACCTTTGAACTGGAAGAACCTTAAATAGGAAAACGAAGGGCCTTGAAATATTATTCACAGTTCACCAGATGTCTATGGGTCACCGGTCATGACACGGCCTATATCCTAGTCTTATTAATTAATAAGTCGGATAAAATAAATTATATAAGAGACTGCCTCGTAAAAAAGGGCCGAGTGGTCGCAAAATCTAAGTCTGGAAATGTGCCTGCTATATGGCAATAGGCTCACCCCCTATTACATTACATGGGACTCATAACATAAATAGTGAAAAGTGGGTGTTACATTGTAGAGTGGCATTAAGTGCCGTAATGTGCACGCCTGTCTACTCCTTCAGGGATAAAAGGCGTGATGTTATGTTATTTAAAAGTACCTATGTATAACATATTAGCTACTCCCGCGCGGTTTTAAACTGTCAAACACCGCGAGGACACCGGTGACCGCAACCTATGTTCTTTAATTGTTTCTATAATGACGGTAGTCAAAGGTCTATAATGACGGTGCTCCTAATTGTCGTAGCGTGATATTTTTTGGCCAACACAAAAATAATCAAATCGAAACAGTTTTTCGATAAGCGCGTTGAAACAAACAACGTACTCTTCTTACACAGGGTGTTAGGCGCATGGACAAAACCACAACCTTTAGTTGTGGGTAGTCCAAAAAATTGTTGTTGTTTTATCCGAAACTTAAAATGAGCGTGTGGTTTGCTCAGTAAAAAGGATATGACAACAGGTTTCCCAACATCGCCCGGAGGTAACGGTAGAGCATACGGTGGCAGTGTGCCCTGCGTAGACTGAGAGAACGAACCTCCTCACGCTCCAGCCGTCGCGGAAGACACTCCGGGCGTCGGAGATCGCGCGACGATCTTCGGCCACCGTAAGTGCGGGTGTGCGGGGGTGAGCAACCGCTTGATTAGAACCAGACCCGTGCGTACGGCGCAGCTGGGGCCCAATAAGATTGATACCCGATACGGAGCCGCGGAAGGCCTAACGGGTTCCCGGAGCTCCGGCCCGAAGCGTAAGAACGGGGAAATTTTTAGTCAGTAAGAGTCAATTCTCCCTCTCGCCTCTCGCCTAACACAAGGCGGAAGAAAGTATTGGATGATTTTCCCTCAAAAAAAAAGGGTTTCCCAACAACTTCATCAATCTCAATTTCTAGCTGTCTATAAATTTTCCAAGAATTGAAAGTTCAAACATTCCAATATAAACGACTAATTATTAAAATTGTCTCGAGCGTCAAATTTTTAAATCTCATCACAATAGTCCGGAGCAACTGAGCTCGGCTTGGAATGGAACAGATTTTCTTCAATTGACTCGCACACAAATTAGATTTAATAGACGTACGTATCTGTTATACAATGCATATTGTGTTTGGTAAAGGAAGAAGCAATAGTGATACTCGAAACTAGTAGAGCTTTTCTCAGTATATTTACGCGAGTACCCCGGCAATTCGTCATTCAGTATGTTTCACGGCCCTTATTAAACATAGCGAACAAAAGAAACTTGTTTTCATACAAACATCCACGACAGTCAGTAACGACGGTCAACATGCAAAAAATTAAAATCTGTAAGAACACACAAAGATATGTAATTCAATAAGCACAGCTATTTACTATGCTATACTAAGAAAATAAAAATTGATTCAGTATAGAGACAGTAATTTGGTCGCCGGTCACATGACGAAACACAACGCACGTTGTTTCACGTCGGTTTTCTGTGAGTCCGTCGTGTCACTCCGGTCGAGCCAGCCCATTCGTGCCGAAGAATGGCTCTCCTACACTTAAAGTATTGTATGGATAAAAATTGTACATACAATACAATAAAATGAATATATATTTATGTTAAAAATTATGGCGCGAAAGGTATATATGTAAGGTGCAGACAAAAACAAGTGACTCACCTGTCCATAGCGCGACGAAGCTAAATGCACGTTCCTGTTCTTGAGTGAGAAGTCAGGCCTCTTTCCCAGCCCATAGTTGCTTTTGTTCTGTGATATGAATTTCTTTGGTCTGTCCAGTCTTTCCGTGGAGCCCGTCTCATTGTCTTCTTCGGTCGGTCTTTTCGAAGTAGACGGGATGCCTCTGTATGCCCCCCGCGTTCCTCTGATCGTCTTCTCGGGAGACTTATCCTGCTTCCTCGTTATCAGGTTATCTTTCCTTTGTTTATTGCTTCTCAAGGTCACATTCGAAGCCATATTGTCCATAATGGTCCGTCAAATGCTTAAACTGACCTTAACAAACTCTTACTACAATAGTTGTCATTTGTGATTGATTAAATAATGAATTGATTAAATAAACGAATAAATAGTGATTTAAACTTCGGAGAAAGCGTTTAACATTAATTCATTCCGTTATTTGCGTTTATGAGAATATATGGTAATAATATGAAAAACTAATAACGGTTACAATGGATTACACTAATTAATTATTAATTAATATTAAATAAATAGCTAGTTCCGTCTTTTATTTCTCTCTCGCTTGGTTGGCATCTTTCGCTAGTGACCGCTCCGAACTGGCTTTTATTACTAAGTGAAAAATAATTATAATATATCTAATAAAAAAATTAACAGTCTTGAGGAAGATTTTGGAAAGTTTTCTTGCAGGATTTTTTTAGATGTTATCTGAAACAAAAGAAAAAATCGTTAAGAAAATGTTAAGTATGTAAATAATGTAAATTACATCTCCTGAGCCAAAACAAGCAGTATTTTGCCAGGCCCTAAAACACGATAGAACACCGATCAAGACCACACACACCAATAGACCAAGTCACACACAACCCTAATCAAGTTACAGACACAAAACTTTTTGTCAATTGCATCAAAAACGTCACAGACACCACAAACTTATGTATACAGGTGGACAAACTTGGAACTAATAAAGCCCAAAACAAAATAACAGTACAAAACGATCTTAATGAAGAAACTAGCGACATTGCCAACTGAAAAGATATTAAATTAGAAATTAACGACTCTATTACGTAGTGCTATGATCGATATTCCTAGTTTAACAACTTACACGTGTAACATTATCTCACACATGCATACAAATAATGAAATCACATCGCGGAGCCATTGTCAATTGTTCACACATGTTATCAGTGGAATCAGTGCCGTATCAGATAATCAACAAAACATTGTGTAACAACTGTTTATTTACTAGTAATGCCGGGTATTTTTTTTTAAGGGGGGAAAATCATCGATTGACTGCTCCCGCCTAGGTAGGAGAGATAACTAGGGAGGGAGTGTCAGACTCTTACTGACTAAAAACCACCCCGTTCCTTCTCCTGCACGTCGAGTCGGAGCCCCGGTTACCCGTTAGGTTCTCCGCGACAGTAATGCCGGATATAAAGATGCGAATTAATAAGGCTTGTCTATTAGTCCTTAGTTCACTTGAAATCATTTTTGTTGCTTTATCTTCTGTTAAATCTCTACCCACATCAACAGCCTATAAGTGGCCACTGCTGACCAAAAACCTCTTCTCGCATGAAGCAGGAATGAGCAATCACCACACTTGCTCAATGCACCTCTACCCTCACCAATAAAAATAAAAAGAGAAATAAAGAAAAAAAAAAGATTTCCCGCTAAAAAACAAGTGACATGAACAGATGTGTCATTCTATTAGTAGGTACTGATGGATACATGTTCATGTCCTAAGAGACCAGTTCAGCATGTGCGTGTCGGAGGCCCAATTACCCCCCCCCCTTTCCCCAATCCCTGAATCCCCAACAATCCTCAAATTCCTAATCTAAAAGGCCGGTAACGCACTTGTAACGCCTCTGGTGTTCCAGGTGTCCATGGGCGACGCCGTTTGCTTACCGGTGATCCGTCTGATCGTTTACCGGCTTACCCCATAAAAAAAAATGTGCAAGACGGGTCTGAACTGAAACTATACCCATCCCTCAGTCGGGTAACAAAAAATTACTACATATTATAAAACTTAGTAGTATAGAGGTAATATTGCTAGTATTCACAGTAAACTCTATGATGACAGTAGGTATACATTCTTATGTGACTTCCATCAGAGAACAGCTGCACAGTAACTCATCAGAAAAATCCACAATATTTGTTCATACAAAAGTAGTCTCTAAACATTAGAGAAAAGGTCTATAATGGAATAAGTGGAGAGTGGTCACCGGTGACAGCTTGGGGGCTCAGCAGTTAAGGAAGGTTTAAGTGTAAAATATTAGTTGTGAATAAATCAAGGGTTGCAATGGATTGCTGACAAAAAGAACATGCTACATATTTGATTAATAAAATTATAACAGTAAGAAATATGTGGGCAGTGGTTATCTGGAAGTATACAAATAGTTGACTAGATTATCTCATAAACTTGCATAGAAAATGATTAGTTGTACACCAAATATCAGATAGCTACAGAGTTCATTAACTTAAGACGTTTTATCTCTAAGCAGACAAAACACAGAACAAGTTTCTAAGATTAAAATTGAAATACATCATTTCGAACACAGACTAAGGTAGACAGAATAATTACAAGGTTCTGTTATTGACTTATGCAGGCATTTAGTGTACTCTGTGACTCGAAACCGTTTATTTGAATTGAATGTATAGGTTTCGAAAAAAATAGAAAACTTTATCAATTACCTCAGTGGAAATAATAATAAAGCACATTAATATTGTATTGTTAATATGAAAGTTTCTTTATTTGGATGTTTGTCCATCAATCACGCAGATCCTACTGAACGGATTTTGATAAAATTTGATATACAGACAGGGGGCAGGGCATGGGCTGACTTAGGTGATAGGATATTTTTATCCCGTTTAAATGAAGTCACAGGCAACAGATAGCAGTATATAAAAATCAACAACAAACAAACAATTTACTCGGAACCCAGATTAATTTTCTATTGTCTGATTTTGTCTTATCTCAAGAATGTGTTATATCATAACCGCCTACCAATATAGCCTAATGAATTAGTGGATAAAGAATTTCTAGATTACTCTACATTAGTTAGTACCTACACATAAAAAGTCGCCCGCCTCACCCAGGCGGGAGAAATCACTCAACAATTTCAAACCCTCAAAAAAAAATTTTCAAAATGTTGACATTGTGAGCTTCATGTCGAAATACTCAAACGCTATTCAATTTAAAGTCACGCTTAAGAATAGTATTGTCACTACCTAGTCAAGATCCAAGTGGTCACCGGTGACCACTCTCCACTTACACCATTATAAACCTTATTTCTGATGTTTAGAGACTACTTTTGTACCTATGAACAAATGTTGTGGATTTTTCATAATCCGACATTTATGATAGAGATGGCATGGTATTTATATACAACTTTAAATTGAGTAGCCTTTCAGTATTCAGGCGTCAGAATGTTAATACTTGAGGATGACCCAAACCAAATTGACATGAACAATAATAGATTGTAATTGGATAATAACAGAAATTCTTCCTGTACCATGACAAATAAAATAGTCACAGCAATATACCGTGACCAGCGGCTTAACCTACACTTTTCTATCAATTTTTTTATTGGATTTTCAACTATTATTGTTTATGTCTAAAGTCGAAAATCGAATAACAAAAATTGACACAATGGAGAAGGTTCATGGATAGGATAGGATATTTTTTAAGACCTATGAGCCTTCTCTACTTGATAGACTTTACATCTAGACTAATTTTTAAAAGCTGAAGAGTGTGCTTTGAATGTGCTAATCGCTAGAACTAGGTAGGTACTGGTTCAAATTGGATATATTTTTTTCATGGCGGATAATCCATTTATCAGAGAAGGTCAAGGCTATAAACTTTACTCTATGATCAAAAGGAACAGAGTAGTAACTACTACAGCATATAAAATTGTATTGATACCTCAAAGCCTGTCTTGTAAGACGATATTAACACATTATCTTAGGTTACAATTGGACTATAAATAAGTTGATAATGAGACCATGAGAGCCATCTAGTTAAAGCACTTGTGAACTAAAATGTAGGTAATTTGTGCAAATCTTTGTAAGTCATCAAGTTTAAAGCGATGTAAACTAACATTAATTTTCAAATATCATTAGTAAATATTACTTAAATAGCATGTATGCAAAGTTAAAGAGGAGCTTATGTTTAAGCTCCTACTCCTTGAGGTTCCTTAACTCATCGAGTACCATCATTATAGACACAATTATAGAACAATAGGTTGCGGTCACCGGTGACCGCTTGGTGTTAGACAGTTTAAATTTCAAACATTTCTAGATTTGTCCGAGTAAGTTATGGTTGGTTGTTAAGACACTGATAAATATAATAAACAAGCTTCTGCCAGCGGCTTTGCCCGCATTCCTAAGGTATAAAAAGTAGCCTATGTGTTACTGCAGACAATAATCTACCCCTGTTCCAAATTTCATCCAAATCCCTTCAGCCGTTTCGACGTAAAAGAGTAACAAACACACATTCACATATATTTTCGCATTTATAATATTAGTAAGATAAGATTAGGATAAAAAGAAACCATAAGAAGTAAGCAAAAGTGTAGAAGCATGATGTTTAGTACTAGTGAACAAGGCATGAAGAACCAATTAAGTAATACATTAGCAAATATGTAATTACAACACATCCATTATATTAATATTTAACAAACAATTCATATCACATTATTAATTAACCCATAAAGAACTTTGACATACAAATCGTAACACCAATTCCACAGAGCGTTGTAATTTTGTTATCTGGGTATGTCTGGTCAAAAGCCTTATTAACGGGTCAATGAGTGTTCTTATTTTTATTGTCTTCATTTTACTTATTTTTATTGTGTACATAACTACCCCATATTTGATTTGTTATAAAAATTCTATCCAAATGTTTTCTGGAAGAAATGGCCATTGTGTGATAAGACCGCCCATTGTACACATAGTCACTCAAAATGTTGGTAACCTAGGCTACTTAATGTGTACAATGAAGCATATATAAATAAAAGTATGATCTCTAGAACAATGAATTAACAAGCATAGACTAGAAAGAAACCACATACAACCATAGGTATCAATGTCAACCAAACATATCAGTAACATAATATATTATGATATATACAAACACTTATTAGATTCTTATTTGATTCAGTTAGATGATCAAGACTTTCACTCAAAGACAAAATTAATATACAAAGATGACACTGATTATGTTATTTACAAAACGGAACACGAACACGCTGTATTGTTTACTGCGCATAGATTTCACGATAAAATTATTTTAAGGTGATGCGAGAACACGGGTCGCCGGCGACAACCAGTGGGTGTTCATTGTTACCTCCCGGCTCAAGCACACCTCTAAACTTCATGACGCACTAGACTACAAAAAAACTATGCAAACGACACTGAATTAATGAAAACTTGGTACCGGCATGAAAAACTAAACATGATTAACACGAAAAAGACACTGCGACTCCACATTCCACGCACGATTATACATACATTCCACACCTGTGTCGCGATGAGTTTTATTACCAGTAGTACTAAAATCCGCAGACAGCGGCCGTTCTAATGCAGTAAATGGCGCATAGCTGAATCAAGCTGAATAAATAGAATAAAAAACTGAAATGACAGCACGTCAAGCTCACAAAACCAATTTCTACATGGTTTTAAGCGCTTTATACCTCGGTATCGGCATCATCTGACGGGTGCACGTTATAAACGACACTGAAACGTTACTTTAGCTAAATTGATATCGGATTCTATAAATACTTACAAATAAAAATCTGGAATCACACCATTGTTTTTTCTTCTGCACAATCAGTAATCGATGTTGCTATACTAGAAAAAAAATCTTACCGTGAAAAGTGGGTCATCATCGATCACTTGCATTTCTTCTTTCACTTTCACTTCAAGTAGCTCAACATAGTCATTATTCTAAAAATATACGTATTTATGCGAGAAAATATTAGTTACATTGTAACAAATGTTCCCTAGAATATTTTTTATTTGTTCTAAATCTCTTGCAGCATGAGGATGAGTTTTAAATCATACTTAATGTCAATTTATATCTATCTATACTATTTAGGTACTCATTTTAATGGGCTAAATTTAATTAAAGCTTTGTAGTAGAATATACATAAAACATGATGTAAGTATAGCTTAATTAAATTAACATCAAATTAATGTGCAAAATATTCACTGTCGCTGAGGTTGTGCGAAACATCGGATGAAATAGGATCGCATCGTTCTACTGAATATGGTGGAAATTCTCTTATTTTTCTGGTCACACTAAAAGAAGGAGGAAAACCGATTTCATTTCATGCAGTAGAAGTCCGATAAATTTCTTTATTAACCTATTTCACAAATATTCTTTTATGTGTGTATGTATTCATTCACAGTTTTGCTATAATCTTCTATTTATTCCATGTAATGAAAATTAATGACACCCTAGAAAAAGAAAATGATATTATAAAAATACATAATTTTCGTTGAGAGAACGTGAAAAGAAATGTTGAACTAAATTCGTTTAGAAACGACAGGATTAAGTCAACATTGTATTAGGTCGTTTTAACATAATCGTTTTAATAAATATACAGAGATAATTCGCAATTTTATATTTCGATTCAATTTCACTTTAACTAAACCTAAGAGAGTTTCACAAAAGTCATCAATCCTGTAGCATTTTCTTTTAGATCTATTCCGTTGTAGTTGTCAATCATTCCAATCGGAAGAGTCATAGACTTAATTTCTGAACTGAGAATTGTGATGTCGATTGTGTACATGGCATAAATTCAATTTCTATAATTTTTTACGTGAATTATGATGTGAATAACTGAATTAGCAACAATAAATTAAATAATGGCGTTCGTAAGCGCTGTAACCGGCGATGACTCCACGAAGAAATTCATGGATGTCCTCCAGAATGATTTCAAGACATTGAGTTTGGAGACCAAGAAGAAATATCCTCAGATAAGAGAGGTTTTTATCATTTTACTGTTTTTTATAATCTAAAATCATAATTTAGGCTTAACTACACTCGAATAGTAGCTATTGTTGTTGCTAAAATGTGTAATTGATTATGTAAATTCGTTAGGAAAATTCATCGCCTGACACATAATGTTTCATTAAACTTATTAATAAACTATTTAATTAATTCTACAAGGTAGGTGTTGGTAAGTAAGACCGGTAGTTGCTGAGATTATCTAGATTTTTTCTATTGACGAAGATAAATAGTTTATTGATAACAATACAGTCCCTGAACACAAGTATTGTTAAACTGTATAAGGGTGGAATGTAGTTAGTTTCATCATTTTCAAAGCAATAATAGATATACAGGGAACTGCTTAATTATCTGTTCCCAACTCACTCAATCAACAATCTTTATGTAGTACTAAGTGACCGGCAAACAAAACAATATGACCTCAAAAAATATGTTTTTTTTTTTATTTATTTATTTAAAATGCTTCATGCACAAATTGTACAAAAAGGTGGACTTAATGCCGCAGGCATTTTCTACCAGTCTGACCTTTGGGTGATGCAGAGAAGAGTAAATGGTAGGTGCAAGAGGCAAGCAGTGTTTTTATTTAACAATGAAAGATAAACTAATATATTACATAGATATACATACATAAATAAATTTAATTATAATGTATACCTACACATGAGTACAATATGCCTACATACATACATATGTACATAATATATAAATATATACTTGCTTACTAGTACACAGTGTTTTCTTACCTTTTAATATGACTCCGCCGAGATCTCGGTCTCGGTTTCGGCATTCTCGGCCACAAATCCAGCCGAGAAATTTGTCTCGGTTCTCGGCCAATTATAACCGAGATTCTCGGCCACCACCGATATTGTAACTTTGTTCATATTGGCATTCAATTTATCAACAGCGGTTTTCATTTGTTTAAAGTTGTTTGCCACTAGTTACAGCAACATTGATCAATCCACTGTTTAAAACCAAATATTTAACTGAAAGCAAGGTTAACTCTGTGAAACTTCATATTATCGAGACTCTAACTCTTAATGAAAACGTAGGATTAGGTTCCCGTGAGATGAATTACAAATAATTCTTCAAATATGACTAACATATCACAAATCAACTTAACTTATGGGCAGCTCATGATTCCAAAGAGTTGGAAGACGAATCTATGGCCGATGACGAATACAGTTCAAGCTCTGTGATTCAAACAGCATTAGAAAGTTTTCTAAAAGAGCCAAGACTACAAAGAAATGCAAATATTTTTGAGTATTGGTTTTCATCATCTTGTAAGGTGCTAAGGCCCGCAACAAAAAAGTTTTAATCTGCGCCGCCTACTAGCGTAGCAAGTGAACAGCTTTTTAGCAAAGCTGGACAATGGGGATGATGACAGGGTATGAAAATTAAAAATATAATTAGTCCGTAACTTAGGTAATAAAAAAATATTAGACACGTATTTTTTTATTTTGTTGTATAATAAAACAATACTTAGATAAAACGAATCAAAGTTTAGGAGTGGGGGCTAAAACGTCATTTCTTAGTATAAAATGTACTGAGAAGTGACGTCACGCGACATTTCAAATCAATATATCTTCGAAACTATTCGTTTCCGTAAGAAAATAAAAAATACGTGTCTAATGTTTTTAAATAATCTACCAGACGGACATTAAAATAAAAATTAGTCGTCTACCCTACGAGAGGCGACATTGTATCTCGGCATTTTTGAAAGGCAAAAATGCCGAGAAATTACTTTTATGTTATAATATATTGTTATTTAACTTTGATTATTAATAAATTAATAGTACTGTAACATAAAGTATTTTTTTTCACACTTTGTCTATTCTCGGTCTCAGCCGAGAAAGTATTATATTCTCGGTTTCGCTCTCGTTCTCGGCGGAGAACGAAAAACACATCTCGGTCGAGCCTTACCTTTTACCTTTCCTGGGCTTCCATACATAATTCAAGACTAAATTAACCAAATCGGTCCAGCCATTATTGAGTTTAAGAAAGACTAATGAATAGCAATTCATTTATAAATGTGGTATCTTTTTTTTTTTTTTTTTTTATGGCATAAGCCGGTAAACGAGCAGACGGATCACCTGATGGAAAGCAATCGGCGTCGCCCATGGACACCTGGAATACCAGAGGCGTTACAAGTGCGTTACCGGCTATTTGTGGATTAGGAGTTTGAGGATTGTTGGGGATTCAGGGATTGGGGAGATTGGGGAAGGGGAGGGAAATTGGGCCTCCGGTAACCTCACTCACGCGACGAAACACAATGCAAGCGTTGCTTCACGTCGGTTTTCTGTGAGGCCGTGGTATCACTCCGGTCGAGCCGGCCCATTCGTGCCGAAGCATGGCTCTCCCACACTTAACTTCTTCTTAATCTTTTTTTTTCTTCCACATCACCATGGAGGGTTTCAATGGTTTTGTTTTTGAGTTTGACGACGACGACACTTGTAACGCCTTTGGTGGTTCAGGTGTCACTGAGCGGCGCCGATTGCTTGCCATCAGGTGATCCGGATGCTCGTTTACCGACTTATTCCATAAAAAAAAGTTAACCGAAATTCTTATATATAATATTCATAAGTTAATATGTTTGTGGTGGACTTAGTATAGTCTTACGACTTGACAGATATACCTATAATTTTTTATCTATCTGCTTGTATGGGTAATCTCTGAAATTGCTGGACCGATGTTGACGGGGATTTTTATTGGCAGGTAGCTAATGTACTAAGGAGTAACATAGGCTACTTTTATTTTGGAAAATTGAAAAAGAAACGTCGTCCTAAAACTCGTATTCCACATTGACGTAATTATAAGCAACAGCCAGTTAAAAATAAAAGCTAACTCACCTGAACTGATTGAGAAAGTTCCACCAGTTACAAATCTTTACAACTCAATGATTGAGAATTTGACTTAGATTAAAACTAGCAAATTTTTCTCAATTACTGCATTTCAATAAGCCTTTATTTTCAACTAGTTTTTATCCGCGGCTTCGCTCGCAGCACAAAAGGATATAAAGTATGTGCTTATCCATCCCTTCAACTAACTTCAGTTAAAAAATCACATTAATTAGTACCTCCGTTCTGTCCTTTAAGACAGGCAAACAAACAATTAGCTTTCGCGTGGAATTCGGTTATATCGCGCTATTTAGATTTAATAGGTAATTCGTCGACTTGTTTTAAATGATATACAGCGCTACCTATACCAATACATAAGCGCCATCTATACAAATATTTTTGTTTCCCCCCGGGAATATAAAATTTTTCAGGGATAAAAAGTACCCTATTATTTAATCCGGACTTCTAACTTTACGTCTGTAAAATTTTAAAGCAATCGGTTAAGTAGTTACGGCGTGAAAGCGGAACAAACAAACTCACTTTCCGATTTATAATATAAGTAAGGATTAATTTATAATGTCTCATGATAGTACAAACTTTGGTGTTGTTTCAGGCGTGTGATGAAGCTATCGAGAAACTATCGTTGGCATCTAACAACCCACAGGCATCTTTATATGGAGTAGTGAATCAAATATTATACCCACTAGTGCAAGGCTGTGAATCGAAGGATCTGAAGATTATTAAGGCAAGTACTTTTGTATTTATTTGGGAAGTGTTTTTATAAAAACTATCGTGAGACATACTAAATTAAGTAAAATCGCGGGTTACTCACGTAAATATACTGAGAAAAGCTCTACTAGTTTCGAACCACAGCGTGCGCGGTCGCGACGTCGCCGCGACCGCGCACGCTGCTCATGAGGAAGAGCCCCTCTGCGATTTTACTTATTTGGGAAGTATCCATACTCCCGTACTATAAGAAGCCTTACCACAGGTCAAACCTCCA